CTAACATCACGTCACTGAGAGATCGCCGAGAAAAATTATGCGAACATTTCTTTTAGAAGAATATTGACAATGAAAATCTCAAAGATCTTTTACCGCAAACAGTTTTATCTGGATATGATCTAAGACCGATATGTAAATATCATAATTATGTTTGCAGAACCGAACGTTTTAGAAATTCGTTTTTACCTCAAAGTATATTAAAGATTAACAGTAAATAAGTTTTTAGAAATGTAAATAATCTTAAATATGTAATTATAATGTAATTCTAAATTATCCTCTTAGTTTATGTAATACTGGTGTAATTTAACCTTTTTGGGTTACAAAGTCAGTAGTCATTAAATCAATTCAATTCAATTCAATTCAATTTAAATGTATTTTATTGGCACAATAATAGGAAATTATTATACGGCAAGCATCACTTCTGGTGAATTGGCGGACTGTGATTGGCTGAGAAGCACTTTCAGCGGTCCATTATTTTCCCGTAATCGGGACCGGCGGCCCATTACGGGAAAGTAATGAAAATTTGAAAATTATAATTTAATTTGTTATTAATAAGATATCTGCGAAGTGGAATAGATGGAATACATTGGTATTCTTTGTTTTCTTCGATCAAATGTGTATCACGCTACTAATATGCATTTCAAATCATGCATTTCTTGTTTGTTTCAACTATAAATGCCTATAAATGTAATATAATAAACTTTCTATTAGCCTCACTCGCTCGGTCTTTACAAAGAAATATCGGACCTCGGTCCGATATTTCTCTGTAAAGACCTCGCGCTCGGTTAATAAAAAGTAACCGTGAATTAAGATACGCCCGCACTGTTACGCAGAACACGTTGTAGTATGAATGTATAATGTGAATATACAATAAAGAGCTGGCAACGAGGCAATCGCGTTTAGCTGCTTCGAGCGTCCCAGTAATGCTTCCCTACCATTTGTCGTCGGTTTTGCTTTTGTCGAAGCTTGCTCCGCTTCATGTTCTGTCCACCTGGGTTCCACTCCCAGGTCCAGTTTCGAGGTCTTTTCCCGATGCGAATCATTCTCTTGTTTCTCTTGGGACCATCCCCTTTCTGTTTCGCTTATTTAGTGTAAGTTATCCCCGTTTTCAGACGGGTGATAAGTCTCGATTGAGGATGGAGGAAGTAACATTAATTGGTTGGCTATAAAGAATCCTTATGCTGCATGGTGCTTGATTATAGGTATATCAAACTTTCGTTGGTAGGATGCAACAACCTGAAAGTACAAGGAGAATTTCGACGTTTCGAGCGAAGGCCCTACAGTTCTTGATTAATTATGTTCATCTTATAATCAGGAACCGATTCAATAATAAATGTATTACAACCCGCACGCTTGAAATCACAGCGGGACCTACGAGAAAACTGCGGGTCTACGGAGTTTGTGAGAAAACTGCGGGTCTACGGAGTGGGAAATTTTCGGATTTCCATGAACTCGATCAGCGTGTTCGAAAGTGTTAGTTCCCGTAAAAATATTTCAGATCTGAGACATGCTTAATTAAAATCGTTTTCTAGGCACTTTTTGAGGTCAAAACACAAGGACTAAGGCTTACGAAAAAACTATCGAATTTTTCCATGATGTTTTACAGAGAAACGTCACAGCTGCAAGCCCCCCCCCCCACCCCCAAACGATCATATGACGTTTCTCGTGGACAAAATCGATATGTGAGGCGGCCTTATATAAACACGACAAATAAATAATTGTATTAATCGTTCTTCATTTTTCATAAACATGTTACGTGTATTTTTGTGCTTTATTTTCTCTAGCAAATTCACCGTAGCAGAAGAAGGTTCACCGACTATGTCTTTTATCAGTTTTGTGTTGTTTGGCTTCGTGTTGGTTCTCACAGAGCATTTTGTTGCCTGTAACGTTGTTGGTAAAACAGTGTCGGATGAAGTAGAGAAGAGAAATGTTAACGTTGGTATCCCGGTAAGTTGGTGTTATTTAAAGTCTATAGATCTGCGATTAGAACGAAAAAAATTGGGATTATAGTCCGCCAACAATTTGAATAGTGTCATCATGCAGTGACAATACCGTGTATTTCGTCTTAATTATTAATGATCTAAAACTCATTGTTCCGACTAGACTAAGTGTGTGTCTGCATGGCGTGGGATATAATACCTACTGATTTGTAATTGTAAGGAAGTTTACAGATTTCAAATTATAAACATATTCTTGTTTAAAATTGGTGCTCTACTGGTTGGACTTGTATAAAGGCATACAGCTAATTCAAAACAGGTTGCCCTTCGAGACGTAAACCATTGAAGTGCCTATATCATGGTTTTGGAGTTTGCATATCTCGAAAGTTTAGGGTATTTTAAAAAGACACTTTGCAATATATTTTGTTATTGAAAAATTTCATCTTGATGGATTTATTAGCTCTTAAAGTTATCGGACACGACGTCAAAAGGACAATTTTGTTGCAATGATACAAAGTGCCTTAAAATGCCCTAAACCTTCGAGATATGCAAACTCCAAAACCATGATATAGGCACTTTAAAGATGCTGTAAAGTCCGTAACGTAAACAAACATTTCGTTTACATTTTGAACTGCTATATTTGTAAAATATGATACTAACCGCTGAATATCTAATATGCACGTTTGTGGTTCGCTATGCTTGTAAATGAATATAAACTCTACGTTTCAATTCAAAAAAGTTAGAAAGATGCATGTAATATTTGGGCAATGTTTATATCTGTAGGTCTCCCTTTGTTATGAGCAGAACTGATGCGCAGAACGGTTAACGGACTTTACAGCCTCTTTAACCGAAATTAACTCTACGCGCAATGGTTAATCCATCCAGACCATAGTTAATATTGGCTGTATCGGTACGCGGTATTTTGACATTTAGCTCTGACACTCTGTGTTTCAAATCAATGTATAGAACAACCTCGTTCCCAGGCTCTTCCCTCTCTTACCTGAGGGAAAAGCCTGGGTGCGAGGTTGTGTATAGAAAATCTAGTTCCCAGAGTATGCCTGTTGGCGGGCTAGGTAGTTTCATGCCACTTCCTAACCCGCGAACAGGCATACTCTGGGAGCAAGATTGATGTATAGAGAGCTTTTTGTACCTAGTCACGTTTTTGACAACACGTACCGTCAACAGTAGATCAATTGAGCCTCTAATAGATGGCGAGTAATAAAGACAGCCGCTCATGTTTGTAATCCCGTAGACCCGAACGTAAAACTTCATTGACTGCCGTTCTTGATTTCAATCAAGACCTGGTTGCTGACTCCATCACTCGTCATCTGTAATGTTTAAGGAGGGCCCCCTATACTTTTTGCGTGAAGCGTGAAGGGCTTATTTTACTTAGCCGTGAAACGTGATCGATGATTTTCTTAATCCGTGACTCGTGAAAAGGCAAAATACTTTTTCGTGAAAGCATATTGTGAAGAGGTATAGGGGGCCCTCTTTAAGGTTTAAGCTTTAGTTTAGAGTCTCAAATAACAACCTTTTCTGCATTAGGTGCGCATATAGCTTATTTATAAATTGCAAAAATTAGTATAGTACAGGTGCATGCCTATATGTGAACAGGTCTTGGTGATTGTCTGCTTGTCTGTATATTCGCACAGGTCTACGTAGTTCTGCGTGACATCTTTCTCACAAATTATGACAATTTATTATGACATTTTATTTATAATATCTGTGCTATTTGCCATGATTCCCTAAACAGAAGTAGTCACCCCCCTGGAAATATTCAAAATGGCGCCGTGTGGGAGAAAGCCATGCCATTTCCTCAGTGTTGGTGATTACTTTTGTTTAGGTCGGTACTTGCCGAGTGACAAATCATGAAGAATAGCGCTTATGAAAAAACAACGGAGATGGCCTTCTGTGTAGTATGCTGTGTTTGTACTTTAGCACTTATTGAAATGACACGTGTCAAATAATTCACTTTTGCATTTAGAAAGGAGGTTTGACGGTTAATATCGGACACGGGATGCGTGACTTGATCATCAATGGAAATGGTGTTGGTATCCAGGGAAAGGTTTGTGAAGATTTATTTACTTACCACACAATTTCATATAGGAAAGAAAAGCACTGAATGCATGTAATAAATTTGGTTCAATAATTAGTGTGACAACAGACGCCATTTTGGCACACTGTATGAGCAGCCCGCAACCACCTGTTGTACAATTTAGGCATGATACGTAACTTAATAGTTAATTCACTGGCGGTATGTGCAAGCGCACCTTATTTTCTAGAGACTTTTGGGAGACCCTCGATTATCTATTGCCGACTAAGCTAATTCCAATAATGGATAGGTTGGGATATTAGTTCACAACCTATAAACTGTGATTCTAGAAAAAACCCCAGATAACTACTAGTTGATCAGTCAATCGATTATAGACTGACGCAGAATTTTGTAATCTTTATTTCAGACTGTAGTTGCTTTCCAAGCAACGCTGACAACAGGTAGAATTGGACCTAACTACGCCCGCGGGGCCATTAAATTTAACGCCGTTACTCTGAACATTGGAAACGGTTATAACCCAAGCACTGGCAAATTTACTGCACCTATTGCAGGTTTATACCAGTTTACTGTCACATACCTTCAGCAAAATGGCTACAGCTCTTACGTTAGGTTGATAAAAGGAAGTAGTGTTATCGGTGATATGCATGCAAACCACAAAAACTTTGATCTGCTAACGAAAACCATTCTTGTGACTCTGACAAAGGGCCAAACATTCTGGGCTAGGTTGGAGAGAAGTAGTAGCTACGCTGTATATGGAGCCGGACGATATACTCAATTTGGTGGATTCCTTCTTTCAGCCGGCAATTATTAATAAAACTTTACCATGCAAAATATGCCTCACTCAGTTCAAAAAATACGTAATCCTTAATTAAATTCTAGAACACCAGTAGTGGCATAAGGGACAATCGCCTCGAACTAAATATACTAAATATAGGACGAGTGCAGGTTAGCCGCCGTAGTTGTCAGTATTGCTTCAGCCTTTATTTTCAAAATATTAAATAACGCTTTCAAATAAATTGACTATTATTAGTGTGTCAATGTTGTTACCCGACAAACTACATGCATCCACGTAAACCCGGAGCGAGGATATTAATTACTCCGGTTATTTACACCCAGGATAAAGGAAGGATAGCGGATCTATATGCCCTAAATTTGTGGCCATATTGTATGGGTGGTCTCAACACTGATTTCAAAATTTATGCATTTCTACTTTCAAAGAATTGTTGCCATATACACTATTTTCCACTTTATTTCAGTGTAGGTGCAAGTTTCTTAAATCATAATTTACCGTGTAAATTAAACGTGCGAATTGTATGATATGAACTGATTTCATTCAAAGACAAAGTTTATCCACGATTATCTCGCGGATTAATTGATTTTGAAACGTTTTACGAAACGTCTAAGGAGCAGTTTTACGTTCAATTCAGGCTTATACAGGTGTCCCTTTCTGGTAGGCTACTAGCGTTAAGGTTAATTAATATTTTCAGATTTTTGTACAGTGAATCAAACTATGTACTCAACCATTCGCCTTCTAGAATCACTTAAGTTGTCCAACTATCCAAGTAGGCAGACGTCTGCTGAAGCGTTCGCACTCTTCCATGCAGGCACAGAATAGAGACATACAGAGACGTACAACTGACCGTCGTAAACACTGCAGAAGATTACGTTATCATGTGCCCACTTTTCTTCAGGCGACCGGACGAAAAATGATCAACTGCGCGTGCTCAGTAAGTTTAAAGTGAGTCGTCATCAGGTCGTCATCCAATCAGATGCATGCATCTGGTAACTTGCCGAGCACGCGCACAAAAAAAGTGGGTACACTAGTTACGTCTCTGTATGTTTCTACCATAGGCATAGGAGATCTAGATTGCTAACGCATGCCTAATACAGGCGGGGCCTACATGATAAATCCAAGATGGCGAGACAACAGGGCAAAAAGACTATAGATTCTATTACGAAAATCAGGGTTTTTCCATTTTTTGCCGTCGCATTGTTTCGAAACTTATTCGGTCAAATTTTATGGTAAAGAGAAACTTACCGCGACGACTTTGGGCATATATATGATTGAATTGGATAAAAAATCGCAAAATTATCCAGCGATGAAAGTTCGTGTGAAATGGTCAGTTGGTCAGTTGGAGCGTTTTATTGCCAGAAATACTGTGCTATGTTAACATCTAGCCTTGTGAATGGTGTTTTATACTTGCATCTCTCATCATCATCTGCTCTGTCGTCATAATTATGAAAAATGAACTGTTATGTACACCCCCCTTCCCCTCCTTGCTTGTTAGAGAAGTAAACTGATGAGAATACTGGATGAGGGTTTATCATCTATGGTCTGTTATAATTTGCTTTTTATGCAAATAGTGAGCAAAAATGAAAGCAAAACTGTACAAGTTACATATATAGTACTGATACAGTATTATGTTACTCCGGTATTTTTCCGGAGTAACATAAGCATAGTTAAAAAGAATTTTCCGGACTGACATAAGCAAATTCAAAATTTTTCGACCAAAATAAGCAAGGCTTCCAATTTTTCACTACAAACGTAACAAAAGCTTTAAAATTGTTCAAAATGCAAACCATTTCATAACTTTGAGCAACTTCGACCACCTTTTGTCCCAAACTTTGACCACATTTTTCCGAGTTTTACCTTCGATTTTAATTAAGCAAATATCAGTTCCATTTTGATCAACTTTGGGCAAATTTCAGTTCCATTTTGACTAACTTTGACCAACGTTTGAATTATTACTGGCGTCCCCCCCCCCCCTATAGCGACGTCTCTGCTTTCAGAAAGCGTGAAACTACAGGAGCCGTGGCGAGTGTATTTTTACGCTTTCCAAAAGTCGAGCTGTTCCCCAAGTGCATGGATCACGTGATCCAGCTTGGACAACCATTTGGTAATTCAAATAACTACAGTGAAACAATGACATTTTGAGAATCCCGCGAAAATCCGGCGAAGGCATATTAATTCCTCGTGCAGGATAGCCTGATCCTGCACGGCTATTGACCAATCAAATTGCGTGTTTCACTATAGCTGATTCTTCCACAATCCTTCATCCGTTATCCGTTTTATCGCATTCCCATTAAGCCCCGCGCTCCCATTGTTTTTTCACTGATCTCTTTTCCCAACTGAAGCGACGAGGGACGAGGGACGAGGCAGACACTGTAGTTATTATATAATGACGTATATAATAACAACAGTATAGTGATATATAGAACAAGTGTGTTCTATCAGATTAAGTATACGACCGCCTTGTACGAATTAACGTATAAGCGCCTTTATTCTTATGCTTCTTTAAGGTGGCCTTAAACAAATGTCCATTAATAGTCGGCTGAAAAGAAATTTATAATTCAACAATCAGTTTATTTCAGAGTTACCGTATTAAAATACGTAGTGATTCCCGTAATTTTTACCGGTTACGTTTGACGTCATTGATGTCAACGAATGTTTTCACGTACGATTTCATGTTTGTCAATTGAGCCGCGCCCCGCTCCAGTAAATTTAGGTCTACAGCACTGGTGCAAGGCCTTGCAAAGTCTCTATTGCACTATTCGTCGACTATTCGTCGCCTATTAATTTAATTCGCGGACTATTCGTACTATTCGTCGACTATTGGCGGATTATTCGTATTATTCGTCGACTATTGGCGGACGATTCGTACTATTCGTCCACTATTCGCACTATACGCACTATTCGCTTCACTATTCTAGTTTTATCAATTGCCCCGTGCGAACGTCTTAAGAAAATTACATATAAAGTAGAAAGAAGGAATATTAGGGGGGAAATGCATGTTTTTATCGCCCGATTGTATTAAGAAAATCCAGCATGACGTCACCAACTTCCACATAGAAAGTTATGCATGCAGAGAGCATGCAGGTTTGTACGTACGGCAACTGATTTGCTAGAATAACATGCATGTACCAACGAATTTACGGACGGATTTCCTTACTGGACCTTTGGGGTGAAGAGTTTAGAACTGATAGTATATAAGCAAACTAAAGTTTCCTAGTTCCTGCATGTACTTTCATAATAAAAGCACTAAGTTTACTTATTTGAAATAAGTACTTTGTTTTTAATTTTCTTTGTTCAGAAAAAGGATGGCGGCAATTAATAAAAATTTCAATTCCTATAGAGACAGGATGTCTGTACTCCCCCACAAGCTTGCAACTAGTTAGTCATAGATGCACTATATTGAAATTCTTCAGAGAGATATTGTGTTCTATTTGGGTCTGCAATTAAGCCAGGCCAAAACACACGAGTCACACATGAATATAATTAATACATTGCATGAAGGTTTATTGTACGATCACCCAGATTAAAATTTTTCAGTAATTGTTTCTGATGTTTCGGCTACCTATACCAGATGTGTAACTGATAGGACTTCGTGTGCTCAAATTTCCCTAGATGTACACGTCATGCTCACGCCATGAAACTTGTCAGGAAAATGGCGTCCTGAAAAACCGCACGAACTTTTGCACTTTAGTGCGGCCGTTTTGATCGAAATTTATCGATTAAACAATCAAGAGCATCATCAACCTCGCTCCCAGGTTCTTTCCCCTACGCACCTCGCTGGAGGAAAGAACATGATCCTGCAGGGTACGTTTCTCCCAGATTTTGGGAGATAACAAAATTTTTACATAACGGTGGGGGGCTTGTTTTACCGATCTAGTTGCCAATATCAATATCAATATCAATATCAATATAAAAGAAATATAAAATATCAATAGAAAAGGTTTCAATGTGCAACCAAAAGAGACATTCATAACGTAAAATAAAATAAAATAAAAGCCACTCAAATTTTGCACAAACGTTTTCGCTTTAATGTTAGCTCCTCAGGTGCATATTTACAATTTGTAAATTATATTTACAGATTGTAAATATGCACCTGAGGAGCTAACATTAAAGCGAAAACGTTTGTGCAAAATTTGAGTGGCATTTATTTTATTTTACGTTATAAATGTCTCTTTTGGTTGCACATTGAAACCTTTTATATATATATATATATATATATATATATATATGGATATATATATATATATATATATATATATATATATATATATATATATATATATATATATATATATATATATATATATATATATATATATATATATATATATATATATATATATATATATATATATATATATATATAC